ATCACGGCTCCTTTTTGTGTCTCTGTACTGTTGCTTGTTAGAATCACGGGTTGGGGCTTTCTTGCCAGGGGTGACACGGACCCAACGGACAGCAACTCCCTTTCAGTTTGCTTTGCAGATCCCCTTGATTCTTTGCTGCCAAAGGTCCCAAGCACAGTTAGTTCAACCTATTGAACTGTGAAAATAAATGCCATCTCCGGGCAGTGGTCTACGCTTTTGATAAGGAAACCCTTGCCGCCCCACAGAGGGGCCGAATTTGGGGCTTTTGGCTCTGGATGGGAGGTACCGATGGACAAAACCCAGTTGGATGAAACCCTCGGATTTTTGGTGGTAAACCACAAATCTCTGGTGCCTGGCGTGGAAGTTTACCACGGTACGGGTGCCGCAGTTGATCGGTCGCAGCAACCGGCAGCTTCCCCAAACAAGTGATTGCACCGAACCTCGGAGCGCAGACTGGCTCCGGGAGATGGAGCATTCAAGTTCTGGTTGCATTCGAGATCCGAATTCCGAAGTTCACACGGCCTAAGGAGCCACAGTTCGCTTTTGTGCACACAGGGGTCTCAAAGGCGAAGCATCCAAGAAAACCCTGGTGCTTGGCAACCGAGGCCTTCACAAGGTTTGGTTTGAATTTCATGTACGACCCCCTGGTATGAACCCCAGTTTATTGGTCACACAACCGTAGCTTGAAAAGATTCAGAGCCCCTGCAGTAGGTGGATTGTTTGTTTCATTGAATTTAATGTCAAAAGGTGGGACATGGGTTTTCTGCTCATCCACGCAACTGAGAAGTTGTCCAATTGGAAGCTCCCTCTTCAGCGGAGAAGTTCGGCCGGAAAGCACGGAAGCTCGGAGTCCGAGCCACTCTTGCTCGGTTGCTCTTTCGTACCGAAATGACCCATGGACCTGAAAGCTGGACATAAGCCAGGTATTTACACGGCTGGTTTTTGGACCGGGCCCCGAACAGACCTTTTGGAGAATGTACATATATGTTTTTTTCCTATTGAACCTATGGTGGGACCTTTTGCTCGGGAAAGAGCAACCCAATCCTCCATCCTTGTCTTGGGTCACGAAATGGCTTCTCTTCCCCTTTGTAGTGGTTCGCCGATAGGGAAAATATGTATTGACAAACCCTTCATTTGGAACAGCCTAGTTTAGACTTTTAATTTTTCCTTGACCATGTTTCGTCAAATGGGACGGTCACCCTGGGCCCCCATGTCTGGGAGCAACCCTACCGCTTCGCGCCGGGCTATCCCGATGCTCGTCGCTGCCGAAGTCCGAGTATTCGGTTTTCCTGATCAGTGGAGTCTGGATTTGGGCCTTGGTTTCCACTCTTTTTTGGTGTGTTCTTTGGACCAGCGGAATCCAGACCATGTCTTGTTTCCACCAGGCCACTGGGTTAAATTACCTTGTCCTAGAAGGGAGCGCGCTGCTCCGCAAGGCGTGCGACAGCTGACTGGGCACTCTGTGGGTCAATGAAGACATGATGTTCGGTTCGAAGGCATCCTCTTGGTTGTTCGTTTCCTTGCCTCGCCTCAATCAAAGACCCAAGCCTATCAACGATTCGGGTGCAACGCAAAGCTTTGCCCGACTCACCCAGGTTGCTTCTACTAGGGACCAAAGGTAAACTGCCCAGAGAATCCTTCTATTTGAGAATCCCAGATTTTGAGAATCCTTCTATTTGACAGAGACTCAATTCGCAGCATCGAAGCCAGCAAAGTAGTACCTTAGTACCCTCGCGGGCACACGGGTGGGCAACTAGGAGTATGTTCCACTTTTGAGCAGAAGTCGGCTCGAAACTCTTTGGAAAGGACGGTGTTTCCATGGATGAAACGGTTGCAACATGGAACTTGTTGCCATTTGAACAGCTCAATTCCTGGTTTGGGCCAATGATGAATTTCGTTGGCCACACTCACCAAAGTATCTTCCAGTTCGCAAGAGCTGGTGGCTTCTCATCAGCCAGAATGACTCTGTGCATTGGCTACACCCAATGTTACAAGGCAATGATGGCATATCACAAAGCCAACATGACCTGTATCCTTCGCTACACTCGCCCCAATGTCAGCTTCCAACCAACACGCAAGATGTTTTTTAATCCTCATTGTCTACACTCGCCACATCACTACTAAGAAATATTGGGTTCTCACCAACCCCCTATCTTGGGTGGGAAAATGGCGCGAAAATGGCGCACATCTCCCCAGAAGGTGTGACTTCGCAGTTGCTTGCCAGTCAGTAAGCTAGTCGCACGGGGTGTTTGCTCGTTTTCTTCACGCGCTTTGAGGCTGCAGAAGGGGTGCTTCGAAATGTTATTTGTAATCCCCGGGTGTATTCTAGCCAAGTTTGGCTCGCTTCAGTTGCCTTTACGCAAGGACCAAAGTTATACCCTTGTTTGTTTGTTTGTTTGCTGTGTTTGTTTGTGTTTGTTTGTGTTTGTTTGTTTTGTTTGTTTTGTTTGTTTTGTTTGTTTTGTTTGTTTGTTTTGTTGGTTTTGGTTGTTTTGTTTGTTTGTTTGTTTGTTTGTCTGTGCAATGCAATGTGATTTCGGGTTTATTTCTTGATACCCTTTTTCCTGATACTGATGCCAAATGCACATCCATGCAAGCATTCAGAAGTTGGCCTTTTGTGCCAACCCCGGCCGAAAAGGACGTATGACACATAGACATGCCTTTCTCGGAAGGTCTCCACTGTTTCTTTTCATGCGCTTGCCACGAGTTGAGAAGTGCCCGTAATATTTGTGCTGATGCAAAAAATAAAATGATGATCATGGTCTTGGTTGATCTTTGATCTTTGGTTGACCTCCATGACAGTTTGTTGCTTTTTGTTTTCAACATGTTGAAACAAGTTTTCTCTATTTCCGACATGAACGTAGTCATCCGAAACCTTTCTGTCAGCTTCCATGATTGGAGGGAGGGTACACATGAGTGTCTTTGTGGCCTGGCAACCATTCGTGCACCCTGACCTGGCACCTTTTTGCGCACACTGAGATCTCCCGCGACTTTTAAATTGGGACACTGGGCTCGGGCCGAAAGGCTGGAATGGAATTTCTAGGGTCCCCAACAGTGTGCCTTTGGGATGATGGGAAACCAACTGCATGGGGGTGCCTGGCGACATTGAGGTTTTGAACTGACCGCAATCACCAGGGACCCATGATGTTGGGCTTCAGTGCTGCATGTTCACATGGTTCATGCCCTGTGTTCATCCTCCAATCCAACTTGTTGAACTGTTTGATCTTGGGAAGACAGCTCAAAGGAGACCACAGCAGTTGCAATGACTGTAATTTTCTGGAATTGTGAGATGGCAGATGAAGAAATGGGCTTCGAATATAATCTAGAATCTAGGTTTCTCTAGCTGCAGACCGGCCCGCACGGTGTTCCCAGGGATTTTCTGGCCAACATGGGACGCCCTGCCCATACCATGTTTCCCCAAGTGATGCAAGGTTCCCTCTTTGATGTGCCATCGTTTTAGTTGCCCTAGGCAACTTGCATCCGCTCGTTGGGGAGAATCCTGTGACCATTTGGCTTTCCAACTCCAACCATCGGTTGGTCTGCTGCTCATTTTGTAAAGCCGCACAAAGATCGGGTGGATCAAGATTCGGGGTTGGGGTTGCATGACCAGCCAGAAGCGGTTATGTGAACCTCAACTATTTAAGGACCACTTGAGCTAAGCCAAACCGCACTGTCATTTGGAAAACCAGAGGGGACTCAATAAAACTCAAATAAATGCATACCGGAAGCCTCATGTGCCACGGGGGAACCTTCTGGTAGGAAACGGAGATTCGGAATGAGGAAGACCACTTTGTGGGCAAACGAGTCGGCGCGAGACAAGCTGTTGTTGTTTGGTCTTCAAGCACCGGGGTCCTCATGTGTTTCTCTTCTTGGAACCCAATTGTGCAGCAGATTCGTTCATTGGTGGGTTCCCTGCAAAAAACTGATGCAACTTTTGGGCGGACATGTCAAGACCTGCGCCCAGTTTCTCTCGCCACCTGTCGAAGCATTTGGGCGATCGCGCGATCGCCTGGTCATCGATGGAACCCCGAAGGGGCCATCCACCTCCGTGCTCTGCGCATCCCCTGACGCGGGTTTTGCTTGGGCATTGAGTTTAGACGCGAAAGGGATTGCGCTTCGCATGGGGTCGGGAGCATTTCGGGCGATCTGTCATGTTGTGGTTTTCCCCGACTTGGCTGTCTTTGCGTGTTTGTATATGTTCATTGTTGAACATGTTAAAGGCTTAAATGTTGCCAGATTCCTCAACTTCAAGACAACTTGTTGGAAGGCAGTTTCGACGTTTCAGAAGAAGCCGAGTAGTTTTGCATCCGCATTGTCACTGCACTTGTGTGCCGTAGCTCGAGAAGCAACGCCCCCTCCCCCCCCGCCCACACTCCACGGAAGATACCCAAGAAACATCTTGGGGATGGCAGTTCACAAAACACTTGTTGGATGTTTGAACATGTGTTGAATCATGCATTTCCCAGCCTTACATGGGGGGTTGAATAGACCTGTGGCTTCTCAACGGACTCCTGTCTCTGGAGTCTCCCCAAGATCTACCCAAAGTTGGGGGGCCATCGGAGGCTCCATAGACAGCGATGGCTTTGACCCTCTGTGGTTTCCTCTTTACAAGTGCTGGACCTTTGATTTGTCCAAGGGTCAAGGAAGAATGCCCCGAAATATTCAGGGTGCGTTTCCAGAAGATTCGTTTGAACTGAAATGACCATAAACTCCCTGGCAGCTTGTTGAGTAAACATGGTGCGCAGTGCTTGCTTTCTGTGATTCCAAGGCCCCCCACCCTTTCCTTTCATTGTCTGGTGCCATTTGCTTGACAGCTTCTGGGGGTTAATTCGCAAAGTCCGGCACTGGGGTGTTTTTTGGTGCACCCTACAGGGTGACTTCAGTCAGATCACCCTTTGCTGGTTTGGATTGGTTTGGGTAAATGGGAAAACACGGCCTAACCACCAAACCACCAAGGGAGAAGCTGATTTAGCGGTAAAAACCATGGGGCATGCGCCGAGGTTGTGGCCATGGAGGAAGCCCGCGCCAAGGAGCAGCCCAGCGGATTCACGCCGGGTCTGTGTGTGTGTGTGTGTGTGTGTGTGTGTGTGTGTGTGTGTGTGTGTGTGTGTGTGTGTGTGTGTGTGTGTGTGTGTGTGTGTGTGTGTGTGTGTGTGTGTGTGTGTGTGTGTGTGTGTGTGTGTGTGTGTGTGTGTGTGTGTGTGTGTGTGTGTGTGTGTGTGTGTGTGTGTGTGTGTGTGTGTGTGTGTGTGTGTGTGTGTGTGTGTGTGTGTGTGTGTGTGTGTGTGTGTGTGTGTGTGTGTGTGTGTGTGTGTGTGTGTGTGTGTGTGTGTGTGTGTTTTTGTGTGTGTTTTTGTGTGTGTTTTTGTGTATTTTGGTTCTTCTTCTTTTTTTGCGGGGCATCCTTTTTGGAATGATCGGTGTAAGAGGAGACCAGGATAACGAGTTTCCCCTTTCATTAGCCATGTGGGGAAACGATTCCATCGAGACCCTCGTAACTCGGATTCCTCAAGTTCCATTCTGCACCCTGAGGTTGAACCTTTTCGATACCAAGGCGTCTGGAAATTTGAAATACCCAAGTTAGGAACCTTTCCAGAAAGTGTGATCTTTCTTGTTCCGTTCCCCAACGTGTCCCAAGACCCTCGCAGATGACTTCCCGGTTTTGCCGGACACCTCCCGTTCAGGAAGCTGCGGACAAGCGCAAGGCTGACGCGGATGCCCAGCGAATCATAGAAGCTGCGGGGAGCCCCGGATTTGCGCCTTCTGATTCCACCCCTCATTCCCCTTTGTTTTCGGTGGGTTCGCCGGTAAACATGTTTGTCCGTGTGTCTCGGTCGGTGTGTGTGTGTGTGTGTCCGCGTGTCAGTGCTTCCCCAGTACAATCTCGGGGAATTGGAAAATATGTCTACCCATGATGTGTGTTTCCCTGTTCGCAAAATCAGCCACGGTGGCGAGACTGTTAGCAAACAGTCTCGCCAGCCCGCGATTCGTGTCAATTAAAGGGGCTTCGTATCACGGAAAGTAGCCCTAAACACAAATTCCCGACAGCCATTCCCTAAGCGGATCATCCCTACTCCGCCTCTTGCAAAGCCGCTCGGTATCTCGCCAAGCGGTAACTCCAATTTTTCACAAGCGCACATTCTGCGTGGGGTAAAGAAGGGTGACCCATGCAAGAAACCGTTAGCGGGCAGTGGAGCCAAAGTTAGATGATATTAAGGAATGTCTTTCTGAATGCACCATTCTGGGTTGTGCAGTATAAGCCCCCACAAACAAATCCACGGCATCGAACGTTCCAAGATATTTGACGTCAGTGGGCCGGCTAATTAGGGTCCCTAAGCAAATCAGGGTTGCTAAAAAGCGGGCCCCGCCTTCTTCTCGGACCCTGTTGTGATTCGTGAGAGGGGAAACTCAGTCTGGCACTCTGGGTTTTCGATGGAATCGAAGCTTCCATCTTCCGCCAGAAACATCGGCTCTGCCATCCTTGATCTGTACCATTCCTGCCCCCCAACGACCCCACCTAGATCCGATAAGGCCGGATTACAAAAACATAAAAATCGCCCACACTTACCCAAAAAGGATACGTATGGACGAGAAACCATCATTATGCGATTCTTCCAAAGGGTTCCATACAGATCACTTTCCAAACCCCACACGTTTGGGGGTGAATACAGCATATGGGTGTGTGTGTGTGTGTCAAACAGCTTCGGTTTGTGAAAACAGCTACCCCCTTCAAGCCCTCCAAAAAGCAGCAATCTGAGGTTTCCAGCAAGAAGCCTACAGCCTTCCGGGCGCGAGAGGGGGGGAGGGTGAAGGTCGGATGTCGGTGGGTTTGAGTGCCTCACGAACGCCCAAACTGGGCTGCCTGGAACCACCTGGTGGTTTCTCTTGAATACGACTACAAAATACAGCATAACTTGTCACAAGGCAACTCACTAAAAGCGCACAAAGAGCATTGAATTGCCTGTTCCCCGCCTTGGCTGTTCTTCGACCATGCTGAAGTGCCAGGCTGGTCAATTCCCAGTTTTCCTGTTGGCAATCTTGCTCGTTCATTCGTTGAGTTTGCAACGGGTCCGAACCAACCAGCCAGCAATTTTCAGTTGTTCAATGCCTCATCTTTGAATGAGGGCCCAGCTTTATGTTGAGCCAAAGGGGAGACAAGCTGAAGTTCTCTGCTGGGGGTGTTTTTTTCTTGTTTCTTGGAGTGGCTGTTCTTTTTTCTGTGAGCAAGCTTCTCATGCGCGTGATTTCCACTTCCGGAGTTCTTTCTTGTGCAGCCCTCACCCTGCCCTCGGCTGCAATCTAATGCTGCTTTCAAGCAATACCAAAGGTAACTAATTCTGAGTCCGAGATAATACCAAAAGGTATTGAAGACGCTATTTGTCTGATTATACCCTTGCCAGAATCCACTGTCCCCTTCGCCTGAATAACCCCCGGCTAGACGAACCCCAATCAAGTTGGGATGTGTTCGTAGTACTGATTGGTAGCTGGTAAGGTCCTTCAGATTCATCTGAAGTGCACATTGAAAAGTCGTTCTGATGCTTCTCCCACCGTTGACGCTTGTACTTGTTGGTTTCGTTGTGTGTTTGGTAGGCAAGCCAAGAGGGGGTCTCCCCTCCGATGTCCTTTGGATCAATTGGCTCGGGGGCTTTTTGTGGGGCACGTGCCCAGCACTTGGGAACACAGAATTCATGAACCTCAGATTAGTTAATCGGGCGGGGGGAGGGCGGGCGTCCCAGAAAGTTTTAGAGGGATCTTTTTTGTGTTTTTCTGGTTGAAACACCCCCTATTAATCAAATGACGACAAGCAGGGACGTGTCCCAAAAAGTCTTTTCTTTCATCCAAGGTCGGCAGAAATTATGTGGGGCACTGATAGGTTCAGGCATCCGAATGTTTGGGTTCTGAACACGCCATGGTCAACCTGTTTACTAGAGCTTTGGGCTGGTCATGGATCCTTTGGTTTTACGGTGAGGGCTACACAACATATGGGCTTGTGTTTTGTATTTGGGTGTTTTTTATAGATACCCTTTTGGTGGTAAGGGAAACCATGCCGGGGGTTCCCCCCCATTTTGACACAGACCCATACAAACTTTGGTTGAAGCAAACACCCAACTTGAGGCTTCTACACGCTCAACGGGTCAACGGGCCTCTTGGTTTGGCTTGTTGTCATTTCCTGCCTTTTTTTGTCGGGCTTGCAATGGTTGAACAGATAAGGCAGTTGGACACTTCTTGGAACACGCTGCGCAGCTTCCCAGATCAATCTCCCATTGAAGCCAGGCTGAGGGATCAACTCAAGGCTGATATCAGTGGTGTTGTGGATCTATGACTCCCTCTCAACATGGCACCTGGCATTAAAAGGAGTTTTACCTTTTCATGACCCCTTTCTGCCTACAACCGCGCGGCCGAACCAAATTCCCCGTATGTGTTGGGTATCTTCCCTGGTTCCTGGTTGCGATTCCACTTGGTACTGGGCAGGGAGAGCCAACCAATTTGGCGATTCCTTTGTTGAAGACAGACCCAACTACCGGCTCACCCCCCCCCGTTCTCCTCGTGCGCAGTATGGCCTGTCCACCAACACCGGCGCGCTGCGGAAGCCCAAGGGTGCGCTGGAGATGGTGAGCCAGGCCTAGTGACGCCTCACTCGGAGCTCCGTGGGTTGGTGCTGGTTGTGATATTAGGGATCTTTATGTGTAGCGTGGTAATAGTTGGTCGATCTTCTGAGTTTTGTTCAAATTTGTTCATGGCAAGTGGGAGAACCAGCCAGAAGAGGAACTTCCTGCTGAAATGCAAGCAGTGTTTGTGTCAGATTGCCCCTTTTGGCTGGTGTTAGCATCGCTTTTGGGGATTCCTTGGTCGCTTTTGCCTTCCCGAAATGAGAACATGATGCGGACAACTTGCCTGGTGGTAGATAGCCACGTTGTAATTGTAGGGGGTTGTCTTGCTTTGTGCTGGGTTCCTTTGTCTGAAACACATTGTTTCAGCTTTTCCGCCAAACCTATAAAAGCTTAGACCTTTTCCTCCGAGGGGAAAAGCCACCCAGCTGTTTAGGTTGCAGAAAAGGTCGTTTTGTATTACTCCCTGGGATGCACTAGATAAAACAGGGTCCTGATATTCCCCGTGTTGGTTGGGTTAAACAGGTTGCTTTTTGGGGTCATGTTTGGCAGGACATGCAAGTACCCTGCAGTGTGGGGCAAGATTCTGCGGCCAGGGGAATTGTGATACTCCGGGCATGGGGATGGAATGCCTCTCAGCAAAGGTTATGTTTTCACAACCATGGGCAAAAGATCTGCCGATTTACAGGGATGGCAACTTTGACATTTGAGAAGTCGCACTGCCATCCCAGTCAGAATGTTTTACTCCAAGAACCCAAGAACTTGCAATGTACTTTCTTGGGAGAGTGCCCTGGCGGCCGTAGAAAATACACAACGGGTACAAAAAGGTCGAGTAGCCATACCTAGCCCTCCTGGGCTGATAAATTTGACCTTAGCAGACGGAGTCTCACACGACACATCCCGCGCTTTGTACAAAGACTCGAGTGATGGCCCATGGCTTCAGAGTGTAGCTGTTCAACCTCTCCGAAGTGTGACGTGCCAACAAAGCACCTTGCTTGTGAAATAAACCATGGGACTGCGGAAGGGCAGGGATGGAAGGCTGAAAGATGTGAGACGGGAAGCCTTGCGGACTTGCCACATGAACTGATTACCACTAAGGGAGTTCGGACCATTTCTTTGAGATCTCCTGCGGTTTGGAGATGACACTGCCAGAGTTGTGATCATGGCTCGTAACCTGAACCATTTCCGGTTTTGTTGCGGTTTCGCCTCAAATTCTCAGACGAATCTTTTATGGGCAAGTGCCCTGCTCCTAGCATTCGCCTTTTTTCAGCGCTTGAAATGGGAAGGCAAAGTTTGGGTCAGTGTGCGAGACGTATTGAAACAGTCACAAATGCGAGACCGATCTTTTGGATGCAGTTCCTAGATGTTGACATGCGATGAGCATGCGGCTATCACATTGACATCAGCGGGCTTCTCTTCCTGGCAATGTCCAGTCAACCAGAGTCACAGGGCTGAAGGCAATGCCTTGAGACATGGCTGTGTTTCGAAAAGCTCCGGGACTGAGAGATTGGCAACGTCAAGAGTGGCAATCAGCAAATGTTGAAACAAAGCCAGTTGATCTCGTCCACACGGTGGGTTTCATGGGCAGGCTTCCACAGTGTGATTTTGTTTGTTCCAGGTTGGGACGAGCCTCTAAAAGGTGGCCAGCACCCAAGGATAGACAATTGGATGGTTTCTCTGGGCCCGAATGCCTACCCTTGTGATCCGGCGTTCACGCAACCCTTTTGGCGCCTTTTAGATGACAGGTTGCCATAGTTGGAAGACACATGCCCATGGGCATGCCTTTTATGAAATCACCTTTTATGTATCAACCCTGCAGCCAAGCTACATGCTGCAGAAACAGTGGGCCAATGCTGCACCCTAAACCCATCCCAAGCCAAGCCAAAGCACCAACTGCTGAACTGCCTTTTCAAGGAAAGCCTCTCATTTCCCAAGGCATGTGCGCCTGGCTTGGTTGCAAGGACCCGTGAGACCCGCTGCTTTGTTGCACCCAGCCCTGTGTCTTCCTTTCTTGCTTGCTTGCTTGCTTGCTTGCTTGCTTGCTTGCTTGCTTGCTTGCTTGCTTGCTTGCTTGCTTGCTTGCTTGCTTGCTTGCTTGCTTGCTTGCTTGCTTGCTTGCTTGTGTGTTTGTTTGTTTGTTTGTTTGTGTTGTGTGTGTGTGTTCCCGAGTTGTGTTGCCAGACTAGTGTGAGGACCAATACTTAGCACTTTGAGCGGCTCGCGCCATGCCTCGTGATGCTGCTTTTGGCTCAGAAAAAGGCGGCTCAGCCAAAATGGCTGGTCGTGGCCATGACCCTGGAGGAGCCGTTGAATATTGGGGTTATCACACAGTCTTGGTGCCCCGCGCCCCTTTTACCTGAGATTGGATGTGTGACCCAGCTAATGTGCAAGTTGCCTAGTTTGTAACTCAGGACCTGCTGAACCCGGGGCCAAATGTTCACCAGCTGAGGCTTTCTCACTCATCATGAAGTTGCCCTTGTGATTCACTGTGCCCCCTATGTGAGCTGAGGTTTGGTGCTCAGATGGTTACGGAACCAAGGGAAGCCACCCCCCGTATTTCCTCCAAACCGCCAATCCGATTAAATCCAAGCCACCAATCAGAGGGAGGCTGGGAAGAGGCAACTCCCGAGAAGCGGTTGTTTGCTCACTTAAGTGCCACCGGGCTGAACAACCAATTAGGGCCATCAATATCCACGTGTTTTGTTCTTGGTGTCTCATTGACTCATGTTCCTTGTTGCAGCTGATTACTTATTTGAAAAGAACAGGATAGACATTGTGTTCTGGTCTGATCTTTGTTGTTTCCGTGTTGTTTTCTGATTGAAGGGTTGCCCCGCCCCCTCCCCCCCCCAATTCGTCAAGGGACCCGGTGAATGGCTTCTAAGATACGCTCCCTTCGCTTGCGTGTGTTTTTGTGCGTAGCGTTTTTGAACCCCGTTGCAAGAGGCGCTGAAAATCAACCAATCTTAAAGAATCTTAAGTTTCACGCCAATCCTGCTCAAAACAAGTGAAGCCAGCATGTGCCTTCTCACAATTTCCTGTGTGGCAAATAGTATCCACTATGGGGCTTTTTGCCCCTGGAGTACTGGAGGAGCCTGCAAGTTCAACTTCACTCCTTGAGTTCAAGTTATACTTTTTGCTAAGACCATTTGAGTGGCAAGCAAATTGTTTTGTTTGTTTGCAATCCATTCAAACCCTCCCAAGACCGTCCCCGTCTTCCGATTTGAGTTCGCTTCTGCCAGGGCCGCGGTCCCATTCCGCAATACGCCTCCCAGGGTTTCTTCATGCTAGGCTTGTCCCTGCATATTTATGGGTGGTTCACAAAATAGAAGTCCAATGGTTGGTTTCCAATTTCGGTTTCCGTGCAACCACCAGTTTGATCAACCCCCACATCTCAATCTTTGATAACTTTGGGGAGCCGTGGGAGATAAATTTCAATCGGGTCCGCACCAAATAGCAGAGGAGACAGGCACGCCTTTCTGGGTAGATCTCCACCCCTGATAGGGCCCCTTGTCTTTGGGTCCCTTACCTTTTTGACCAAGTACATCCAAAAACACCCTTAAGAATCGGCATTACCTACATTTCTGCTGGTTTCAATCATCACATGCTGGAATTAAACATGAGTTCCCTTTTGGGGTTAGGGAGAATGTTGAAACTGTTGGGACTAGAAACCAAAGGCTTCATGGCTTCTATGTCAGGACGGAGCTGCGCGCCCGGGGCCTCAGGAGGATCGAGCCCATTTTGGCTTTTTGGCATCCCCGAATCCATGTCGCCCAACAGTCGATTCCTCCACACATTTGAGGCCTGTGGGTTTCCATGTCGCAGTTGGGGGAATGAAAGATGGCACAATTCCCACTCATTTGGGTTTTGCCCTGCCTCACATGGGAATTGTGTCATAGATGTATTCCACTGTCTTCAGTTTGGTGCGAAACATTTTCCAGTGGGATGCATCCAATTTTCTCCAAACAGGACACCTCAGCCAAAATCAAAGCGCTCCAGGTTAGTGGGGGCCTGTCCCAGCCATAAAAATACAGCAGGTGCAGATATCCGCCAATTGAATTCTTGGCGCCACTGTTAGTACTATCATTTCCTATTGGAGAAGCCCGCAGACCCCAGAAATCGGGTATACCTAAAGGGACACATGGGAAAAAGTGTGGAGAAGAGAAGAGGGATCGCTGGAAGGCCGGGACCGAGGTCGCACCTCAGGAAGTCAGCAAGGTGCTCCCGGCTTTCAACTGGGAAACTGGGGAATTTCCCGTGAGCGAAGCAAGGCAGTGCCATGTCCTGAAAATAGGAAGAAACAGGAGGATAATGCAACTCTGTCCAAAAGGCCGATCTCGGTTTTGTCCGTCTTCTGGCGAACCTGCATCATGCTCCCAGCCGGCCCACAGAAGTGCCCCGATTTGTGGATGGAGAAGGAACCAGCCAAAAGCAGGAGGATTTCTTCCACCCTTTCTCTGTGGAAACTTTGGGAAAGCAGACTAGGGGCGATGCCCATTGTCACCTTTGGAGAACCTCTAGTCACCCCCTATCAGTACATCCGTGGTTGCAAAATCTGAAGCTTTATTTGTTAGGTTGTTGGGGCAAGGGAGTTCATCACCTGTTGTATTGTGCGTATGTGTGTGTGTGTGGTGTTTTCAAGGTTGGTGGAATGGGAACAGGTTACCGGGCGATGGGGGTGGTCCCCCGTCAGTTTATTGTGGTTATATTGCTTTAGTGCAATTAGGATGATCGGATACTCGAAATATGAGCAGCTGACAATATGGTGGATGTTCAGTGTTCTTCTTTGGTTCAGGTCAGCAATGTCTATTCCAGACCCCTCTTTCTCACCCAATGACTTCCTTCGCTGAGTGTCTGAGAGAACAGCCGAGGCCTGTCGCTGCTTAGCGCCCTGCGCAGGGGCGAGGCCTGCGGCGAGCTCGCGCGTGGAGTCGCACAAACACTTTGGGGTGTTTCATGGGTACTGCGGAATTAGTTTTGTTCAGTTTGCAATTCCTCGAAGCCCTTTTTGCACCCAGGCCCAGATAACCCTTGCATAAAAGCAAGCAAACACATGAGTTTCCCTGAGGGTGCC